TCATCATCATTGGAGGAGCGCTCCGAACGCCGAACGCTCTGTTTAAAAAATCAACTCAATTCGCTGGCATGTAAAGCAAATGAGGCGCGTTTTATGCAAAAAGAAAAGGCAAAATAAAAACGAAAACGAAATGAGAAAAATACGAAGAAAAATAAAACCACAAAGAAGATTTTCTTCATCGAAGAACCGATGGTTTAGATACCCTTTCGGTCCATGCTTCTTAGGGAAGTTAGAAGTCTTCCTGAACCCTGTTGGTTTTTGGGATTATCTTTGATAGTATTCTGGAAAACAGATCATGGCTATAGTATCTCATCTTTATGTTTATTTATTTTAACATTACAGAGAACTAAGGTTTAATTGTTACCACAGCCTGTGCCTAAAGCAACTTTGCTCTCTGAGACAGTATACAAAAGCCAACCTTATGATATAGTATTCCGATTACATTTTTATGGATAACGTATCACTGGAATCTGTAGATTTTGAACTTAATAGCTACTTTTCGCCTTTTCCGCAAGAATACATAGACTACTTGGAGTATAGGTACAGTTAAAGTACTTTTTGAAAGTGTAACCGAAAAAAATACACCAAAAATTGCAAAACGAGTTGGCCATCGAGATCGAGACCATCAACTGGAGCAGTGATGGCTATCGATCAACGGCTGTTCTGGTTCTGGTTGAGGCTCAGAGCTGGCACTGGCACTGGCTCTGTCTTGATTACAATCAATGAGAAAACGTAGCATAATCCCGCAACGATACTAAAAGGTTCCCAAAACAAAACAAAAACAAAAAAAAAACGAGCCCATAAGAATCGAAAAAAGTTCAGCCTCGAAACAGTTACAGAACCGTATGGACAGGCTAATAACAAACAATTAGTAACTATCAGCACTGGCATTAAGCGGGGTCCATGGTCCAGTCTGCTGCTGACCCACATTGGAGGCGCCGCAGATCCACCCGGAATCCATCCTGGGATCAGCGAATGAGCCATGAGCCACGAGCCAGGGGTAACGCTCCAGTCAGACAATCAAGCATTTCGGGGCATTTCATTAGGCATTACAGATCGAAAGGGTTACAGAGTCGAAAAAATGAAGAAACATTTAATTACGAATTACGAGCAACGCAAAGGAGTAGACTGGGAGAGTGGGGGAAGGAAGGATCTGGCCGAGTGTGTGCGGTGGGTCCCGATCTTTGGCCCTTAATTAGTAGACCTGTCCTCTGATACATATCACTGGAGGAAAGTAAATGGAAGAGAGAGCGAGCGCGTGTCCCTTTTTTTTGGCTACTGTCCTGCGGGACCAATTAGTACCCATTCCCGATACCCCATCCACTTGCTGCATTGCCCTCAAGGGTTAACGTGGATGCTGCGGTAGGTGAAAGTCGTAAACCGATTAGACATTAGTTATGCTCGTAAAAGATTGCGTGTTAGTCGGTTGTGGACTGCAGGAGCCGCAGTAGCCACAGTAGCAGCAGCAGCAGCATCAGCATCAGCAGAAGCCAAGTTCCATTACAGTCGCATTCTGATACGATCGCTCGAAACGAAATGAAACGAAAGTTATGGCTTGGTTTTGTGTGTGTCGTCCCCTGTTAGGGAAAACAAATTTCACATCGGTTGCATAGATTGATCTATGGTCTGATGAGTCATAGGAATGAGGTACGTGAAGGTAGAAGAAAGTTATGTTCATAAAGGACCTCCGGCTACACAAAAAATGATTTTTATTTTAAGGTTTGATTCTTCGGATCTACGAAGACCTGTAAGTGAGTGTCCTTTGTCATAAAATGTATATTTAACACACAACTTTTGATGTACTTACGGAGGCAGGCATAGTATCCTCATACCTTACCATAAATTCCTTAAAAAGGTTTACTTTTTTTAAGTTTGATTCCAAATAACTACTGAACGATGTACATATGTGTGTTATACATCGAAGAAATTGTAGAAAATGGCATATTTCCCATGGTGGACCCAATTCTATAGTAAAGATGTGACACTTGAGAGCCCTAGATCATTCCCAACTTGGATTGATACGATACTCGTTGGAGACCCTTTCCGTGTACATGGACCTGCTTGATTGGATGGTGATCGGTGAGTCCGGGCACCCATAAATAAGGCACAACAGGCCGCACCGCAATATCAGCTGGGTTCCATCTCTGGCCCAAACACAAGTCATTGGGCAAAGCAAATAAAATTATCTCATTACAAATTATGCCCCCAATCCCAGAGAGTGGCAGGAAGGAGGAGCACAACGAAGGGGAGTGGAAGCAGAGATGTGGAGCTGATGTTGAAGCTGAAGCAGTGCCTGGGTGGAGGAGCTCGAGCAGACGCTAAATAGATTATGTCAAATGATCGGAATCACATCATAAATCCAATCCGGCACTGGCGGATGAGGATGAGGATGAGGAAGAGGCTGAAGATCAGGATGAGGTAACGATGAGGATGAGGAGTATGCTGGATCAAGTGCCGCTGGGCGCGGAATGAATGCGTCCAAAATCAAATAAGCCAGGGCGGTGCAGTGTGGGCGTTGCAAGACCAAGTTGCAAGCCGCCGCCGCCGCCGCTGCCCCCTCCGTGCGCCTCCTGTGCCTCTTTAACACATTTTTAAATGAAACCCAGCCCCGGCATCGATTATTGTTTTGCATGTGGCCGAAAAACAAAAAACGAACAGAACTGAACTGAAACCGATATGAGAATCCCTGCCTCAGTCGCTGCCCCAGTAGCCGACGGCGCTTTGAAGCATGCACCTTCGATCTCTCAAGCTCAGCTGATAACGCACCACTAGCACCACCAAAGACACCACCAAGCACACCACCACCGCAGAGACAGCGACAGGGAGACGGGGAGACCGAGATACCGAGACCCCATCCAAGGAGGTGCAGAAGTATGGCGAAAACAATAAAATATTGATCGGAATGAACAATAAATTCAATGCCTAAGTACAGAGCCATATTTTGTGGTTTCTGCTGAGGATACGTTCGGTTTGGGTATTTGGATGCGATTTGTGTGGAACTGGACTGGGGAGGGGGTGGGGGAGGGGGAGTTGGGATCTTTAAGGGGTTCGGGACTGTTTGCTGCTCTGGTGCTGTGCTGCCTCAACTCCCTCACACTTTGCGTGCAAAAATCGATCAGCGCGAAATGAAATTGAAGTTAAAGCGCAGCGCCCCAGGGCCGAGGCCATATAGCATGCCCAGATATATATCTCGACTGGGCCCGAACTCCAGCACCAGCTCCAGCACCAGCACCAGCACCAGCTCCAGATCCAACAGAGCGGGCCAATGACTCCAAAGAGCTTCTTCGGAGCGGCTTTTGCGTGTGAAACTCCTTTGAAATTGGATAGATCTCAGGACGGGACGGAATGTCGGCGTAGGACAGGGACAGAGTGTGGAACGATCATTGTTCGTGTGACATTCCGGCAGAGCGAAATCAATTTGCGAATGGTTCAATGCTTTTCCGTACAAAATTCATTTGCTTTGGCACACAAAGTCATCATCGACGTTGGACCCGGTTTCGGTTCGCTTCGGGTGATAAATTTTCAATTTGTTTGACTTGAGCGAGCTCTCACCCACACAGGAATCTGGCAGCCCTGGGTGGATCTCTTGCTGGTAGCGCAACGAATCCAAGTTGACATTGCCGCACGGGCGACAAAGCGGCCTCATCATGGCCCATTGTGTGTAGTGCAACATTAGGTCATGCCGGATCAAGTGGGTTACACCTACACCTACACCAACACCTAGGGCAACGGCTGCATAAACTACCTACTGCGGACCGCTCCCCTGTGATCGCTGTGCCCTGTGTCCTTTGACCTGTCCTGTCCTGGCGCAGGACACTCGCACTGTGCATACATTAAACACAATAACTCTTTGTGGCGTATCGCTTTCATTCATGCCACATCTTGGTGGGTCCTCTCACAATCCTCACATAAATATTCTCCCACACTTTGAGGATGACCAGGCTTCTTGTCTTCCATCTTGACATCTCCATTAGCCAGCGGACTGCAAGTTAATTAACATTTTATCCATATTCCATGTCGAATATGCGGACAGGAAGTCAGGAAGATTACCATATGAATATATCTCTAAAAATTAAAGTATAATAGTTTTTTTGCTTCCTTAAGATGGGACATTCTAAGGTTCATTTCATATTCGAAATATTTTGTTTGTGTTAGTCTGATGATCGCTTAATAATTGCTTGGAATAAAACCACTTCTTTAAGAAATCTTTAAAAGAGTTATACGTTTCTTTTCTAACTTTCTTTGTTGTCTGTTTAGGGTTCCGTTGGGTGATTTCCTACACCTCTATCCATATCCCAGCTATCTATATCTCATGTGTATGCCCCGAACTTTTGGTAAGGGATTAATATAACATTGAAGGATTTTCTTTTTTATCTGAAAAGTGAATCAGTGGCGCGCTTGTGGGTCTGATAACAAACTGATAGGAAAGTTAACGACACCACTGACAATGACTAAGTGAAATTGTTACACTTATGTGTACATGTACATTTATCTTATAAAAATTGATAACAGCTATTCCTACACTGCGGCTCGGCAGCATTGGACTCGACAGGTAATAGGTTGCCAAATAAATTGTCAAATAATTGTATATTTTTTTCACTGCAGGCAAATAAGCTTCTAAAAAAAGAAAGTATCAAAAGTCATATCGAATTTTCAAATATATTTTCTTATGAAACGCACTGTTACTGACTCAACTCGTGCATATCGAGTTGCATAAATCATATTTCTTAGATAACAAACCAAGATACAGGCCGCAATATTCAATTTTCGATAAACTAACCGATTATCGATAGACATTCATATCTTCTTAGTGATCGATACAAAGTCCGAAAGCAATGGAAAGTAAAATGGTAATTGGTGCATACAAGTGCACTGTATGTGTGCGTAAGTCCCCTTTTGTGCTAGACATTCACGAAATGTTATCTGAAGAAGATTTGTAGAGCGGCGTATAAAAGCCCAGGCATATAGAGGCCCAGCAGTTAGTCGAAGTTAACCGGGCAAGCAACATGACCAGCAGAACCACCCAAGTTACGGCGTTGGCCCTGCTGACCGTTCTAGGCCTGGTGGCGGGGTCCTTGCACCGGATACCCGTGCGCCGCTCGGAGAAGTATGTGAGGACCCGCCAAAGCCTCATAGCCGAACGCGAGATTGTGTTGAGGAAATACAACCTAGTGCAGAGCAATATCAGTAGCACTACGAACACCACCGCTGGAAACTACTCTGTGGAGACCCTGTCAAACGTTAATAATCTTCAGTATTACGGCAGCATCAGCATCGGAACCCCACCTCAGAATTTCATGGTGCAGTTCGACACGGGGTCTTCCAATCTGTGGATTCCCAGCGTGGATTGTTTTAGTGCTGACTGCTATTATCACAATACATACTCATCCGCGAATTCCACCACATATCAAGTCAATGGGACCGCCTTCTCCATCACCTATGGCTCGGGCAGCGTGTCGGGCATCCTCTCCACGGATGTGGTGACCGTGGCTGGACTGAAAATTCCCCGCCAAATGTTCGGGGAGGCCACCATAGTGACGGGCACTAGCTTGCTAGATGCCTCGTTCGACGGCATCTTTGGCATGGCCTACTCCAGCCTGGCCGTTGACGGAGTTGTGCCGCCGTTCTACAATTTGTGGAGCGAGAAACTGGTGGATGCGCCCGTGTTCTCCTTCTATCTTAAAACCAATGGCACCTCAAAGGCGAGCTATGGAGGAGAGCTCATTCTGGGCGGTTCCGATCCGTCGCTCTATGAGGGCAAACTGGTCTATGCTCCCGTCTCCAGCAGGAACTACTGGCAGTTCATGATGGACGGCGTCACTTTTGGTAGCACTACCTTGTGCACGTACTGCCAGGCAGTGGCCGATACGGGCACCTCGCTCCTCATTGCTCCGTACTACATCTATCTGATGATCACATCGATGGTTAATCAGAACATTCTCTGCGCTGACGTTCCATACTTGCCCACCCTGACCATTACCATAAGCGGTGTACCCTTCAAGATCCCACCCAGTGCGTATATCGTGGAATTGGGTAGCGAATGTACCCTGGGCATCTCGTACATACAGGGCACTGATTTCTGGATTCTGGGCGATATCTTCATTGGCCGCCACTACACAGAATTCGATTTGGGCAACAATCGCTTGGGTTTCGCCTCAGTGAACTCCGGAAGTGTTCTGGGAGCCTTCTCACTCTTGAAGATCTTCTGCCTAGCAGCTCTTTGTGGACTTTGGAAGCTGTGCAACCTGCAGAGCTAAACGATCATCAAAGTAACTATGAAATACCCACGAGTAGAAGTGTGAATCACAGCCCAAAGTATATCGATGGCTCATTAATCATGCACTGTAGATAACAAAAATATTGGTTGCCCCATCATTCTATTTTCTCTATATAAATAAACGATATGATACGATACGATATGTTACACACTCTTGTACGTAATGTCAATTCTCCTTACAAATCCTACTTTGGCCGGAACGTTTAAGACCAGCCCCAGCCACAGCTCCAGCCTCAGCCTCAGCCTCAGCGTCGACCTAATTGAGTTGCGGAGGGCCTATGGCTTTGCTTTGCTGGAATGTTTTTCAACTCCTCGGGGATCAGCGATCGCAAATTGAGCGGGCCTAATTGGACCATGTGATTTATTGTGAAAAACGAAGACAGAACCCAGAAAGAACAAAAATTGGAACTGATCTGAAACTCTGAAACTGAACTGAACTGAAGTGAAGTAAAGTGGAACTCAATGAGCGCATTATTTATGTGATGTTATTTTTTGTGCTTTAGCTGGGGATTAGGACCCGTCGGCTCCCACACGGGTTCGAGATCTGCTTGGTTGGTGGCCTCGGCCTCGGCCTCGGCCTCGGTTCAGTTCAGGATCACTCTAATGAGTGCAGTACCCTGGCTCGGGGTTAAATTTATTGATCAAGCAATTGCATCAACTCTCGACGCTCATCAAATACCAATAAAATATCATTTGATGTAATTGAGCCCAGGCATCGATGGCTGGATGGGATCTCCGAGACCACCAGCATTTGACCCCAGGGTCTCCTCTGAGTGGAGACTCGGATGGTCGGGCGGGGCCGACCTCGTCCTGGTCTCGGGCCACGACGAAAGCAATCTGTCTCATTAGCCGCAAAAGCTCGACTTGATTTATGGCCAACTTGTTGTTGCTGTTGCTGTTGCTGTTGTGGCCGTGTATCGGTTGTTAGCCGCTCAGATAAATCACATTAAAATATTTCACAATGCCTGGCCGAGAGGGTCAGAGGGATAGAAGGGGGAACACCTTAACAAGTTGTCTGCTGACAAATCTCTAAACGAAATCAGTTAACAACTTAACTAATGATTATCAATACGCATTTCAAACAGCCACAGGAAGGAAATGCTTGCCCTGGAGGCCCGAAGCCTTTGATACCCTTGGAGACACATCGTTTATATTTATATGCATATCCGGCTTAAGACTTTTTCAAGCGATCTATTCTGTGGCAGCTATATATGATATGCACATTCCGGTATATTTAGTTTCTAACATTTTGTTGGAATTTTTTCTAAAGGACTTGTACATATGTACATCTATAGACTGTAAATGATAATCAAGATTATGTACATATCCCGATTAAAAAAATTATTTTCTGCGTTGCAAGCATTCGGTCAGAATAGTAGTACTCGCCGAAAGGGTACAACAGCGCTCGCGCTCGACAACATCGATAAGGTCCGACGATCGAAAAGCTCTAAAAGCCGCATGGTGCTAACAAACACAAACACAAGACCGACCACTTAAAGCGTGTGTGTTTTCTGTGTGTGTGCGTGCACTGGTAGGCATAAAAAATAATCTTTGATAACGGCTTTGTCGCTTCGCACATCTGCAATCTCTTGTTGTCCCGCTCTGTTCTGTTATGTTCAGTGCTCTGTTCAATTATACAGCCAAGCGAAAATGTTCGGCTTTTTTTCTTATGTTAATTTTTATAGGGTCACATAGAAGAACATGGATAGATAAGGAGGTGGTATACTAGCAGCAAGCCTAGGAGAAGAGTATCGTGAGTGCGTGTGAAAAGGAACTTTCGGAGGTGCCAGCTGACATTTTTGTGGCTTCTCCCACTTGATGCTATTGCTCTCCTGCCATTGATTTTCACCCTCTTCCTCTTACTTGTAGTCTTAACTTTTGGGTATTTCATTATTTCCTAGAATTTGGACTGTGCAAAAGCCCATCGTGGTTGACCGTTAATACCCTACCCAATGCCAAATGTATGCACATAGCATATAGCGGACTTTTGATAATCATTTTTCAGCATTTTTTCATCTTGCATTTCCGATAATTATCTATAATTTAAATATAAATTGAAATAGTGGAGTATAGATTTGCTTTATATAAATTTATAAATGGAACTTTCGGAAAGAGACAATCGCTTTCAAACCTTAAAGACTGAACCCGGTCTCATCTCCAAGGCGCCCAATTGTTGCATTCGAGTAGGTGCGAATATTTTGCAGCTGGTGTGTATCAGCCAGTGTTTCAAAATATGCAAATTAAATGTAAATAAGTTTTGCAACTATTTCTTGTTCTTTATTTTCTTTTCATTTCTTTTCTTTCTTTGTGCATTTATCTTAATATATTTTATCGCAAATCGTTCGTCTTCGTTTGCGTCTGCGTCTGCCTCTGCCTCTGCGCCTGCGCAGTCAGCGCAAGCGTCTGCGTTGCGTTCCTTTCGATGCAGAATCGAAGTTGTTGCAAGTGTTGTTGCGGTTTTGATACCCTTGCAGAGAAAGGTTATAGCATTTCAGGAAAATGTTTCCCATACCACACTATATGTATAACTTTTAGGAATTTCAGGCCAATAAGATAATAATATAATAAAGATCACTCTGTCAAAAGACACTTCTTTGGGGAATACAATGAAGATGGGTCTGCAAGAGTGTTTAGAACTTCGGTTACTGAAGGTAGGATTTTTTTCTTTTTTGTTGTAATGGTTTTTGCGTGTTTCCGTTTGCTCGCTTCTTTCTTTCTGCGAATCTGTAAAAGTCTAACGGTTCTCAGTGATCGGTTCTCTCATCGATTAACCCAATCGAAGCTTATCAAATTTTCTGCATAAAGCCCCAAAGCCATTATCGATAGCAAGATACTTAATCATTAAAGATCGCATGGATTTGGAGTTGAAAAAGAGACAATCTCGGCGGTTGAGTCAATACGGCCTGAGTCGGATTTTCCTGGGTAAACCCCTAGAGAGACCACCGCCAAAAAAGAGAGAGTTTCCCCAAAAGAAAAACGCCTAGTTCTTACATTTTATATAAATGTATTATATATAAATATATTTTATGTATATTATGTTGTATCAAAGCATTATCGATACCGATTTAAAAAAGAAATGCCACTTTCGATCAACATAATCGTTGTGGCAATTATAAAATGGTTTATTATGGAAGTGTGGTCCCATGAGTGAGAGATAAATCAATGGGATAACCGCGATAAAGAGCGTTTCGCATTGGATTCGCCTCTCGTTTCGTTTCGATTCGATTCGCTCCAGTCCGTTGGGGGAGCTTGGGTTGGGGCCTACACTCGTATCGATAAGGATAACTAGTTTTGAGGCCTGCTGCCCGCCGCCGTGTGCCCTAAGTGATTACAGTTTATGAGTTATTGTAAAGAGGAAGAGAGGCAGCAACAGCATCAGAAGCAGCAGCAGCCACAACTACGAGCGAGTATACCATCAGATATTATTTACTTTAATCTGCTACATCGGCCAGACTTAATTGCAAAGCTGTTGGGGGAAAAGTCCTGGGTCGCACAGCCACAGTCACAGCCCCTGTCACGCATGCGGCACACTTTTGCGCCCCGAAAAATGTGTAATTTGTAGCAATTTTGGAAGCTTGAAAGCCAACTTGCAACTGCCACCAGCCGCTGCAGCGGCGTGTTCATACTCGGTATGATAACAACATGAGGAAAAAACTGGGTCAAAGTTTTATATTCGAATCGCTTGGAAACGCGCCATAAATGAAAATGACGTCGATCCCCTGGACTCCAGGGCCTGGTCCCTCGTCGCTGGTCGCTGGTCGCCTGTCGCCGGTCGCCGGTCTGGTGGTGGTGCCACAATAAAAATTTAGTTTAATGAAAGTGTTTTCGGATGCAGCGATATTTTTGTGGTAAGCTTTTTGATGGCTTGATTGCCTGTGCTGTGGATTATGATATATACATACATACATATAGAGCAACGGATATTACGAGATGAGCAGCCTCGAAGCGCGTTGAAAGTGGATCGTCTTACCTTGGCATTTATGGCATAATTTTGGCCCATCAGCGGGGACAGATACTCCTCGTACCTATGCATGTCTCCCCATCTCATCTCCCATAGCAATCATAATCAACAGTAGCCGTCCCAGGAGTGTGGAGAGTAGAGTAGAGAGCGCAGAGTCCCCAAGGCCCCGAAGGACATTGAATGCCATCAAACAGGATGCGGATTAAATGGAAAGTTAATCAATTAAAATCGTTTACCAAGATCAAAGCTTAGGGCTCAGCCCATTTAATCGAGTCTCGTTAGCCCATCCATGCCATACAGGCAATAATACTCGTACGAGCACTGTCCAATCTCCATTGCCATCCTCCTTTTTGGTCAAGTGACTTAATTAGCATGCCACCAAATGTATCTTAAAGATGCTCAAGATGCACGAAATCGAATCAATCAAAAATGCAAAAACTCTGGCAAAAGAAAACGATGCAAAAAAATACGCATGGCTCGATCGCAAAGCAAAAAACTTTCTACTTGGAAAGTTTCAAAAGCAAAAAAACTGTGGCTGCCTTAATCGGCTATACTTTGGATCGATGGATGGATGTGAGGGCTGCGATGGATGCGAAAGGTGGCACCCAAGCCAAGGATCATAACTGAACTAATTGAAATATTCTTAATCGTGATTCTGGTAGCGTACGCGAGAGATCTGATGGTGCATTTAATCCAGGCAAGAGCATGCGATTTTATGGCCTTTAGTTGCCATGCTTGCAATTTAGCGTTAACTAAAAATAAATCCAATGGGATGGGATGGGAATCGATGGGCAGCGTGGCCAATCTGTGGCCAAGTGTGCGCCTCGTTAGGACCTGTTTTCCGTTTTCCGTTTTCTGTTTTCTGTTTTCTGGTGTGTCCTTAACGCTTAACAAGGTGGGCGAGGCCTGGGGCCTGGACCTCAAAGAAAGTTCATTTCTTGAGCTGAAACTGAAGCTACTGCTTGGCTTGTTTTTTGGGGCAAACGCGCCAAGTCGTTGAGATTAAAGAGCTGCCGTTT